CCAAAATCTTGTAGGCCTTGTCCAGGGCCACCACCATTGCCAGCCTGCGCTTTCCATGCCTGTCCTCCTGGTACATTTTGCAAAGGGCCACACATACTGGCGAAAAAGCTCTGACCTTGGCTGCCTTTATATGCTTCAGGCATGGATAAGAATCACCACCACCCCCTAAATCAGCCATGGTGAGGTGCTTCATTCTGTTGGAGGCAGGCACACCCTGGTCATCATACAACCTGACCAAGAGCCTGTTCAAGCTCAACAGGTTTGCTTCTGCTGGGCAGGATGTCTCAAATCTAGGCTGTCCAGCCCAAGTGTTACATGGGGCTTTCCAGCCCAAGTGTGACATTGGGCTGCCCAACCCAAGGGGCGCTTGTCAAAAAAACACTTCAAACATGCTGAGGCTCTGTTGGTGCCAGGCAACTGGTTGAGAATGCTCCACAGGACACTGCCGAAACAATAGGCAGAGGCACCCAAATCCAAGGTGTGCAAGGTGTCAAGCTTGATGCTGCACACACTCAACCCAGGCACCCCTTTGAACAAGGGATGAGAACCATAAAGTTTCTCCATGTCCTGTTTGCTCCTCACAGTATGTCTCCAGCTTGCAGTTGGTCTGAAATCAGTAAATGGGTTCTCTGTCCCCTTCTTTTTTTGGTCTGCTTTGCAATAGGGGCACAAAAAGTTGCTAGCAGCGAATGGAAATCCAAACTCTTGAGCATACCACTCCAGGTCCCCTGTGATGCACCACAGCCACCCTCTCCTAAACCTTTTCCCCCTGGCACCAGGCCCATCCACTGCTTTTCCATCCACATCGACTTTGGGTGCCCTGCCTTCCCTCAAGGCTTTGAAGGACCAAGCCAGGGTAGACATGATGCTGCGAAAGGTTTCCTCTTCTGCAGCCAGCTTGGGGATTGCGCACAACAGCAATTGGGCTTCACTCACAGACCTGGATGATAGCATGCACCTAGGCTTGGCACATTGATCAAAGGTTTGATTGCTTTCATTCAGAAAAACACTGAAAACAAAGAGCACTCACAAATGATGCTTGTCAAATGCAAGCATCCTCAAAGACAAGACCTGGAGGCTGTCTATCTCAGTATATGGGGCCCCATCCCCATGCAACACATAGGGCACTGGAAGCTGAGAAGGCTTTGTGAAGTCGAGGCTCCTCCACATGTCACTCGACATTTGAGGATTCTGCTTTTGGGTCTTCCAAAACTGAACCAAGTCATCGTCTTTGCACATCACCTTTTCAAAGAGGTCACCCTCTTCCAAGGATAGCGCCCAACTGTGAGGCAGCAGAACATGGCACTCTGTAGTTTTTGACACCCTTTGACCATCCTCCTTCATCAGCATATTGGTGGTGATCTTCCAGGGAGCTGGTGCAACTAATTTGTGAAAATATTTCCTCTGTAAATCCCTGTGGATATTTCCTGGGATTGCCCCCATAGAGCCAAGCCTCTGGAGAGCTTGCATTTCAGGTGCATCAGCACCACTGAGGCAAACTCCTGAACTTCAACTGCTGATAGCTTGCCTAAGGCATACTTCCTCAGCAGAAGTGTCCACAAGGGGCATGGCTCAAGACCTTCCATTTTTCCACCTTCAAAGGTCCTGAGCCAATTCCTCCACTAGGCAAAGTGGGCTTGCCAAATGACATAGGACTATCCAGCCCAAATGCCTGTAGTGAAATTAAATGTGTGGTGGGGCTATCCAGCCTAACTGCTTCCAACTAGTTACATGGGGCTATCCAGCCCATTGTTTAACTGCTTCCAACTAGTTACATGGGGCTACCCAGCCCATTGTTTGGTGGGGCTATCCAGCCCAGCTGCATCCAACTAGTGACATGGGGGCCTGTTGTTTAGTGGGGCTATCCAGCCCCGCTTTTTCTCCCTTTTTTCAAAAACCTGGTCTGGGCTGTCCAGCCCTGGCTAGATCCTTTAGACCAGCCGGCAGCAGAACCACTGTAGCTAAGCTTTCAGCGCTTTGGCCAACTGGAGTTTCTTGGCCTTGCAGTCTTTCAAGGCAGCCAAAGCTTCTGAGAGACCAGATGCGACACTGCTCTTTCCACTTTTACTTGCCAGCAGGTTAGTGACCACTTTCAATGCCTTTTTTGCTTGTTCTTGGGTTACCAGCACAGCTTTCACTAAGGCCTTGTCACCCTTTTGCTCTCTCAAACTGAAGACCCCTGCCTCCAGTGAAGCCAAGTCCTTTGTAAGTTCTGTCTTGAACTTCATCACCCTTTGGTTGATTTCCTTCTTGCCATCACTTTCATCAACTTGGCTGAGCACAGCCCATTTGTCTTCTTTGTCCTTTTTTGGTGACGTGGGGTCTTTGTTGTTCTTGAGGCCCATGGCCTTGGCCAGGTCCTTGTTGATCCCCTCAAATTCCTCCTCCTCCTCACCATCCCCTAGCCCCAGGACAAAGTCATCTTCATTGAGATCTTCCAGCATCAGGTGGTCGAAAGCCAGCAGTTCATCCTTGCTTGCTGTGCCCCTCACTTCCCTGCTGCCCCCTTTCACTTTGGTGAGCATAGTGGCCTCCTTTTCTGCCAGCTTTTGGAACTGGAAGAACCTGGTGTCCTCTGGGTTCCTTCTCCATTTGAGAGTCCCAGCTTTCAGGCGAGCAGTCATTTCTTCCACCCCCAGTTCATCTTCCATTTTCTTCTTGGAATACCATTCCTTTTCTACCCCATGCTTTTTCTCCAAGGCAATGGATTGCATTGCCTTCCTAAAGATCTTGTCACACTTCCCTCCATCAAGTGCCCAGGACCTCAAAAGGTTTCTCTTCCTGACCATGGACCCACTCCCTTGTGTTTCTCTTTTGTATGCATTGTCCAGGTCCACAGCTCTGCGACTCCATTCAAATTTCTTCCATAAGCACTGTTGCTGCTTTTCAGGTAGCTTGGAAAAAGCCAGAGAGAATTGCTTTTCATCTAGCTTTCCAACCTCCTCCATAAACTTGGTGTGGTCTTTGAGGGCTGACTCAGTGAGAGGGAGGCTCTCTTCTTCTTCTTCTTCCCTTTGTTCTTCCACTTCTTCTTCCTTTGCCTCATGCTTGGTTCTTTTGGTGTCAGCAGCACTTGGCCTCTTCATTGCGTCAGCAGCTGGTCTCTTCATCACTAGGCTGCCTGAAGGGCTGAATG